GGATTTTTTTGGGAGCTGCTCCAGACTCCTGGTCCCAGTTTTCCTGCCAAACAGAGTTCTTCATCACTTTTGCCTGGATTTTGATTTCTTTGGCTCGTGGGATGAGTTTCCTCCTTGGGAGCTTCCCCCTGAGCTGATTTCTGGTGCTGAAAACTTCCTGGCAAGTTTTCCATGTCTGCTCCAGAAATGCTTCTTCATCTTCTGAGCAAGCGTTATTTAATTACTCTGCAGTGGGGCTGTTCCTGCATTTTAATGGCAGCCAGATCCCTCTGCACCTCCTCATCCTGATTTTCCTGTTTTTTTCCTATGGGAGATGTGGAATTGCTGCAGAATTACACAGCAATGAGCAGGAAAACAATCAGGTCTAACCAGGATCTGGGGTGTCTGTATTTCCTCTGCAGGGATTTTTCCAGCAAGGAAACCCCTGAGGAGCAGCCATGGGAAGCTCTGGGATGTGGCTCCAAGGCTGGTGCCCCAGTGAGGCCTTTCCCACAGGGAAATGGGGACAGCAAGGAGCAGGAATGAGGGAAGAGCAGGAAACCCTCTGGGGAAGCAAAGGGAAGCTTTGGCCTTGGCCTGGAGAGGCAAATCCCAGGAAAACAGAGCTGCTGAGCACTAATGAAAAACCTTGGAAAAGCCACCAAAACAGTTTCATTTCCCTGCAGATTTCAGCAGGGAGCTGATGGGGGTTCATTACAGCCCATAATAAGTTTTCCTTATGTAGGCAAAGCCCCAGTGGATTTTCAGGGTGTTAATAAAGCAGGAATGAAGTGATCCAGTCTCTTCCATGCAGACAACAAATCCCTCTCTCCCCTGTCCTGATGAGCTCCATCCATCATTCCCAGGGCTGCTGGAGCCTCAGGGACCCTGCTCCTGCTGGGCTTCCCCTCCTGCTGCAGGTGCTGCTGAGAACTTGGGAATATTCTGGAAATTTCTCTTCCCTGTCCATTTCCATGGCCCAGTTCGGGCTCAGTGGGTTCTCCTTCCCCACCTCAGAGCCTTTTCCTGCCCATCTGGATCACATCCAGGTTTTTCCCTTTACCACAAAGTTCTGCCCTGATTTAGAGTTCCCAGAAAAATCCATTGACCCTGATGTTCATCTCCCAGTAATTGGAAAAGAGACATAAATCAAACTAATTGCAGGGGAGTTAAAAATGGCTTTGTTTGCTGTAGCTCAGGCTGCAGCCTCCCTCTGGGAGAGCATTGGGATCAATGAAATCCCCGGATGTGTTAGAGCAGAGCAGGGATCCTTTCCTCCTCCTGGCTGATCCCATTCTCTCCCTGGACATGAGAATAAACAGCTCCAAGGTGCTGGAACATTCCAGGGATTCCCTCCTAAACCATTCCTGCTCCGGCTGTGGCTCAGGTGGCACTGTGGAGAGGGATCCTGGAATGTTTTGGGTGCAAAGGGATTTTAAAGCTCATCCCATCCCACCCCTGCCGTGGCAGGGACAGCTCCCACTGTCCCAGGGTGTCCCAGTGTCCAGCCTGGCCTTGGGCACTGCCAGGGATCCAGGGTGGGCACCTTTTGCCGGGGCTTGCCCCCCTTGCCGGGGACCATTTCCCATTTCCCATTTTCCCTTCCGTCCTTGCCTTTTGGCTTTGGGGGCCTTTCCTGTGTCCTGTCCCTCCATCCTTGTCCCCAGTCTCTCTGCAGCTCTCCTGGAGCCCCTTCAGGCCCTGGCAGGGCTCTGAGCCCTCCCTGGAGCTGCTCCTGTCCAGGTGAGCACCCCCAGCTCTCCCAGCCTGGACCCAACAACCCCAATTGTTCCTCTGTCACCTCCATCCCCTCCCACCCTGCTGCCCTGGGCTGATTCCAGGAGCCAGGGAGGAACATCCCTGAGGAAGAGTCTGAGGGGGGTGAAACGCCCTGAACCCAAAATTGCTCTCCCCTGAGCTCCAGCCCCAACTTTTCCTTTCGAGGATGGATTTTGCTGCTGGCAGCTGGAGATTCCTGAAGCCTGGAGAAGGGACAGGAATCCACAGGCAGCCCTAAAACCGAGATAAGAGATAAGAAGCAGGCTGAGGTTTGGCTCTGATGCAGCTGTTTGGAAACAGAGATATTTATCCAGGGGGATCCTTGGGCAAGATCAGAATCCCTTTTCCTATTCCATGTGCCCGTGCCTCCCCTCCCTGGAGCTGCTCCAGCCTTTCCTGCCGGTTTAAAATAAAATCTAATCCATTCCCAATCCCCGCCGCGGGCCATTAGGGCTCCCTGAGCACGGTTATCACCGCGCTTGGCTGGCAGAGCATCCCCAGGGATTTAACTCCTGCATGGCTGGGCAGGAGCATCCCTGGAACAGCTGTGCCCAGAGCTGCGAGCCCCAGGGATGTCCTGTCCCCTCTCCCAGAGCTGCCATGAGCAGAGAGGCTGCAAATGTGCTGCTTGCAGGGAGGTTTTGTCCCAAAATGCCCGAAAAAGAAGGAAAAATTGGGTTTTATTTCAGTTGGAAAAGAAGAGCTCCTAAAGGGAGCAGAGGGGGTTTGGGGGGATTTCTCCTAAACCAGCAGATTGGGAAGCTCAAATTCAGATCAGGAAGAAACAAAAAATTTTCTGTTTTCTTGCATGAAAATTCCACCAAATCCAAATACTTCACAGCCAAGTGAGGTAAGCACTTCTCTCCCTATGGAATATCCTAATTCCTTTGTGGGAACCTGCGCCAGGAGCTCTGAGCTGCTGGGACATCACAGCTTGGAATCCACGGTGATGCCAGAGGGCAGCAGCTGAGGCCATGCTTGGAAAGCAAAACCCCTCCAGCTTTCCTGCAGGGATTTGGTTGGAAGGGGTTTTTTTCACCACAAATCCCAAAGGAAATAAAATCCTTCTTGTTTCCTTTGCTGGACAATTCCTGCTCATTATTATTTAGGCCATGTTTAAATTATTCTGTCTGCAGCAGCCGATGGCATTTGCTGCGTGCCTTGCAATGTTCCAGGTAATTAAGTGGTGTTTAATTAATTAAGGAATAATGACATTCAATTAAGGGAACACTGTCACTGGGTAATTAATGGCTTCCTGCTGCTCCAGGAAAGCCAAGGTGTTTGTGGGGAATCAGTCCAGGGGGAAGTGAGGGGTTCACTCCCCTGGGGAGGAGCTGTGACCTGGGGATCTCCCAGGACCAAATTCATGGAAGGAAGCTCTGAACAGACCTGTCAGGAGCTGCTCCCAACCCTTCAGCAGTGGGAGACACAAGGGGAAATCTCTGGGAAGGAGGAAAAGACACCCAGTGTTGCCAGCATCATACACAGCAGGAATTCCACGGCTCTGCCTAAACTCAGGATTCCTCTCCTGATGTCCAGGATCAAAGCCTGGCATCAAATGGGGCTCTGTGTCCTCTTGGCTTTGGAAGGGAGCACTGGCAAAAGAGGAATTTCCTGGGATGTGAAGGTAAATGAGAATAAATTCCCCAAATCAGAGGGAGCTGAGCCCTGTTCTGAGTGAAGAGGACAAATATTGAAGGATGAACAGGAAGGATAAACAGGAAGGAGTCACTTCCCAGCTGCTCCTGCCTGTGGATGAGCCCTGGATGTGCTGGGTGAGACCATTCCAGACACCTCTGGCAGCACCTGCAGGGGTTGAACAGCACAGGGCCCTGAGGTGGGGCAGCCTGAGGGATCCTGCTGATCCTGGAGAGCAGAGGATCATCCAAGAAAGATCCCAAACTATTCCACAGCTCCTCTCCAAGTGCCAGTTGTGGTGGCTGGTGCCCAGTTAAGGATTTGTTAATTTAATCTTCGTTGCATTTTTGAGACGGTGGCAGCTCTCAGATGGTAAAATGCTTTTGAGTTCAGCTTTTGTCACCCTCAGGCACCATGGGCACCATCCAGGAAGGAATCAGAAGGAATTCCAAGGCCTTCTGCCAGGAGCATCCTCCTCCTCCATGCCCAAATCCAGCCCGCCCTGCAGAGCTGCCCCTTGCAGCTGGAGGCTGATGCAGGCAGGGAGAGCCTGGAGCGTGTCCTTGGGTGGGGAAGCTGCAATTCCCAAATCCTGAGGAGAACAGGGCTGCCTGCAGGTGCCAGATCCAGCTGGGAGTGTTTGCCAGCTCCTTCTGGCACCAGCAGTGCCTCTGCAGCTCGTTCTGCTGAGGAGCCTCCAGAGAGCCATGGACAGATTCCAGCTCTGACTGCAGCTCTGGCTCAGCCCCTGCCCTGCTCCCTGAGCTCCTGTCTGCCTGTCTCCCGGGAATTTGGGATCCTGTGCAGGAATGGTGTGGGATTAGAGTCTTTTCCTGGCTGCCAGCTCTGCCCAGGGTCACCTCACACTGCAGGGCTCTCCATGTCCCTGTGAACACTTCCCTGAACACTTCCTGGAACATTTCCCAAAATATTTCCCTAAAAGCTTCCGAAAACACTTCCCCAAACATTTCTCCAAACACTTCCTTATACATTTCCCCATACATTTCCTGAAACATTTCCCCAAACACTTTACTGACCTGGCTCCACATAAAAGGAATAAAAATGTGGATCTGGTCTCCCCTATCACAGACACCTTTTATGAAAAATCCTTTCCTTAGGATTTTTCCTCCTGAGAAGCTGAGCAGCCTCAGGAACAAAATGCAAACAATGGTTATCTGCTGCTGTGGAATGCAACAGGTGCAGCTGGGATTGGTCTCATGTTGGCTGTTTCTAATTAATGGCCAATCACAGCTGGCTTGGACTCTCTGAGAGTCACAAGCTTTTGTTATCATTCTTTCTTTTGCTATTCTTAGCCAGCCTTCTGATGAAATCCTTTCTTCTATTATTTTAGTATAGTTTTAAAATAATACATATCATAAAATAATAAATCAAGCCTTCTGAAACACGGAGTCAGATCCTCATCTCTTCCCTCATCCTCGGACCCCTGTGAACACTGTCACAGTCTCCCCATCCACAGCCCCAAAACCCAATCAATCCAGGGAACTCAATCTCCCAGGCACCTGTAGGGTTCTGAAGAGCCCAATTCCCACCTCTGCCACCAAAGCCATGAGGAGACTGGAGCTCATTTCAGACACCAACTCGATTTTATTGTTTGAAATGCCAGGGAAACTCAGTCTCAGAAATGTGGGGATTTCTGCAGGTGCTGAACACCACCCTGGACATCCTTCCTTGTCCTACCGCCTCCAGCTGTGCCTGTGCCCCTGAGGCTGTGGAGCATCCCCTCCATGGCCGAGGTGGGGACAGGCCTGTGACCCTTTCAACATTGGCATGGGCTCCACGAGCCACCTCTGCTCCTCGCTTTGGGAGCCACGCTGGGCCAGCCACCCTCCAGCCTGGAGAGATCATTCCTGGATGGGAGCCGGCTCTGCTCTCACAGCTGGTACTTCCTCAGCAGCTCGCTCTGCCACTGCCGCTTCTTGTTGGGAAAGGCGGCCGGGATCCTGATCCTGCGGAACTCCTCGATGCACTTGCCCAGCTCTGACTGCAG